ATGGTCCAACCACAGCCGTCAGGTGGTTGCACTCTGCAGTGGGAGCTGACTGGAGAGGAGACTGTAGGTGCCGAGGGTCAAGGGTCACTGATGGCCAGTTCGCAGGGGTCTATGAGGGTCCCTCCTGAATTAGCGGGAAATGAAGTGGTTAATAGACTCATAGCAGATAATCATCAGCTACGAGGTGAGACTTAAGAGATTGTCTATGCCAGACACATTGCCTATTGATAATGTAAAAATGCATAAACAACTCTAAACGTTCCACAGAGGCTCTAAAGCGAAGCAATGATGCCCTCAAAGAGAGATGTGAAGAGATGGAGGGGTGGCAGAGGAGGTCGAGAGAGGAGCGCGACTTCCTGAGCTGTAGATTTCGTGAGGCCAGAGCTTTAGTGCAGCGACTGGCACAGGAAAATCAGAGCCTGTTGGGACAGCTCAACCACAGCATCAGTCAAACAGAGAGTCCACGTGTCGGCATCTCTAAAGAGACTGGAAATCAATGCCAGGACCAAGAGCTGAAGTGCACCAATGTCCTCATGGACTCACCAGAAGTAGGTTCTTTTGTGAAGCATTTGGAACTTGCAGGAAGTTGTTAGTTCATTGAATTAAAATTAACATCCCTTGTTTGTTTCATTCCACAGGTATTAAATGAAGCTGTACTGACAGACCGATCTGAAAGAGATGCTTACAGACACACAATGCCTCAAAGTTTGGTAATTTACCACTCTATATGTGAAATGTAACAATGAGTTTGTCTGTACAACAGAGCTTTATCAGCATTAAGTGCTAATCTGCTTTGACTTCTTTTGGGTGTGGTGTGTTTTATCCTCCTCGTTTTTACTGTGTTAAAGTACTGTCCAAACGTAGCTAAAGATAAGGTCATCTTTACAAATCTCTTTACTCTTTAGCCTGCTGAGGGCTCTAATGAATTTCTGAAATTGCTGAAAAGTCACAAAGAGAAGCTGGAGGAAGGGATGAGGGTACTGAGGAGGAGGAATGAGGAGCTGGAGAAGGAGAAGGCAGAGAATGAGAAAGAGAGAGAAAATCTCCACACCACTGTGGAGCAGTTACGCTCCAAACTCACTCAGGTAGAGCATTTATTTTCCATTTGTTTATTGATACAATTAGACATATCATGTGGGTCCACAGATAACATGTCCAACACCTTTTCACTTGAATCATTTTTATTCATGTTTTAATTTCATCTTTAGGCTTTTTTGGAGTGAATTCTACAGTGTAATAGTTGCTCAACTAAAACAAGGTCATACTAACTGCATTTATAATAATTATACAAAATTATTGTTTAGATCAGTTCTAAATGATATGTTCAAATGTTTGGGGTTGGTAAGATTTATTTGTTTTGAAAGATGTCTCGTGTTCACCAAGGCTGTATTTATTTAGTCAAAAATACTGTAAAACAGTAATATTATTTCAGTTTCAAAATAACTCTCTTCTGTGTGAATATATTTTAAAATGTAATTTATGACTGTGATGGCAAAGTTGACTTTTCAGCAGCCATTACTTCAGTCTTCAGTGTCACATGATCCTTC